ACAGTGCCCTCGCGCCAAAACCTTTGTCAAGCGCTGGCGCACGACGTACCCATTATTCTGATTGAAAGCCGACAAGCGCTAATCAATGGCGATCCCTCATGGCGGTTTGGTTAACAACAAAATAGAGCCTACACAATGACAAATCGCTATACTCGTCTCAATAATCAGATTAGGGTTCCCGGTGCATTACGTGTCATTTGGAAAGCGATGGAAGACGGCGCACGTTACAACCTGCACACGCGCGCGGACAAGTACCAGCGTGCGACCGGCAAGGTCCGCCCGAGAACGCGATGCGAGGACACAGCAAAGCCCCAGTGGCAGCGGGCGAAACACTCCACCACACGTCCCCGGGAGACGGATCCAAATCATCAGGGATTTTAACAACGTGAAAGCCTCGACCGTTAGAACCATTGTCACTGATCCATTCATCAAGCACCAATCGCCACTGAATCATTGTAATTTTTTTTTTAAGGTACGTGTATTCGGTCTACAGTTGTGTTAATTTCCCGCATGCCCAAATGTTTTGTTCCGTTGTTTATTAATTCATTGCGTTTTTTTCCTCTTGCTCAGTTTGTACGGGTCCCCATTGTCCAAACCCGAAGTGAGACTTTTTCCGAGATTTTAATTTGCAGCAGTGCAAAAGGAAAACAAACCATGTAAGCCAGCGCTTCACAATGACTCGCATGTTTTGCATGTTGAAAAAAATACTTCTGTTTTTCAGTGTAATTGTTGTTCTGACTCAAAGATTGTTCAGTCCGAGGTTCCAAAGTCCGTTCCTTCTTTTCTGTTTCCGTTAGCGTTAAGTTGATCACAGCAGACTTTATACATAGGCCTATAGCCTATATTTTTACAAACATGCGTCTGAAAGTTGTACTAAAAGCAAAATTGAAACAAAAAAACAGACATGTGCTGTGAAATATTTTATTAACCATTACCCGTCTGTAAAACAGGTAACTGACTCGCCATAAATCATCAACTGGCTGACTATAGTGGAACCTGCCACAAATACACGCGTTTTGTTCACCGTGTGAGAAAAGTGAAAGTTGTCGAGCCCAACTTTGTACGGCTGGATCAGTCTCCCCACTTCTTACACCAATAACCGACGTTGCTTTGCTCGTTGGTTTCCCAGAAATCCACTTCCTCTCTCCTTACAAATTGTTTGCCTCCCAAGTCCTCCTTTAGTTGCGATAAATGTTCCGTGCTTTGTCATCAAGGAGTCCCGATTTTCTTACGTCCAAATTACGTACTACACTGTCACAGCATTCTCTTCGTATTCGTATCTCATTCTCTTCTTCATATGCATTTTCTATGTCATTTTATCTTTCATTAACCAAGCTAAATAATAAGCAGCCCAAGTTAAGAATGAAGTAAACAACAGCACGACAAAAATAACTGTGACGATACGCTTGATAGGCCTACACAATGTATTACAGTGTGTGAACTGAGTTGGTAACAACGAGAATTTAATCATCCTTTTATTTTTTCAATAATCTGACGATCCTGTCAATACTGGCAGGAAGTCACAACTCGTAAAGCCCACTGACCAATCGGGGGATTTTTTTTACAGACACCGTATCCGACAGCTATGAAGACTTCCCTTTTTTAGTTTGAAAATCGTCCTTACGTCATTCAATGGTTAGAAGCAGTCGTAAATCGACGAGTTTTTTGAGAGAAAGGATACCCTGTAAAATTAATTTTAGACAACTTTGCTACCCGCATCGAAACTATGAAAATCCTTGTGCTTTTCGATAACGATACTTGCAAATAATAGTTCAAAGTCAAATAATTCTAAGTTCCGATATCAGCTTCTACAAGGAGGCACTTCTGCCTTTCGCCGAATATGCGAAACGCCTTCTCGCCGTTGCTCATACAGAAGAACTTTGAAATTTAAAAAGGGCAGGGAAAACCACGGCCATTTTCAGCAGCCGCAAAGTAACAATAATCCCATCTCACCACACAGGGGAAACCTGAACTTCACGCATTATGCGTCAGACAAAAGTGGCACACTTAGGGGAGATGCGGTGGACAAAGGAAATATGTATTTCACACCTTAATACAATCCGTAAGTGATGTTTCTCATCTGTCAAAGAGAGCTGAGACGGTGAAGTGATCTCAGACGGCACTCTCGAGGCGATATTCCATGGCTGAGGCAGCTTTGCGGGGGGATAATTGTATGCCAGGGTCCTTGAATTGAGATAGAGTCGCAGCGAGAGGAGGGAAAGGGGATAGTTTTCTCCCTCTCCCATGCTGTATCTCTCTCTCTCTCCGATGAATGCAGCTTCATCATTGGAACACAACGGCAGCGGTAGATGGCAAAAACGCTGAGGAGGAAAGAAGGAGCGGAATTCCTTCCCACCTCCCCGTGTCTCTTTCTCTCATCAATGATCAGGGATTAATGTGTTTTCATGACGGTATATCAACGCCAATCTCTCTCCAGGAAACCGGTCCTTTGATTCGATTAGCGGAGCCCGCCGAGACCCGCGCCATCCTTCTGCCCAACCCTTTTTTCTCCCCTCGCCCATTCTATCGTCGCCACTCTGCTGCCTTCATAAGAGGAGAGAGGAAAATAGAATCACTCAAAGAGATTGGTTGGGATCGATGTGAATGCATCCAGCCGATCTCCTGCGCTCGTCCAGGGGTCCCCTGGGTTGGTGCTCGCACCCTTGAGACCGGGCCAACACCACAAGTTTCGTATTATAGCCACCAATGAAAGCAAAGGATGAAAAAGAGATTGGACATTTTCCCTAACGAAAAAACAGCTCGAAAAATGCAGCTTTTGTCATTGGGGTGGATTTCACGGTTTTAACTCTCCTCATACTTTTAGCGACAAGCTCTCTGCTTCAATTTTTTTTCCTGGGTACCGGTAAATTCGTTGTAGGGAATGAGCAACTCATAAAGAAGGACTATTATGAATAGAGGGAGTGAGATAGAGACGTTAGAGGGGGTGCACAGGAGGGCCGATGATGAAATGGCCAGAATTTTGTCCAAAGGAATTCCGGAGAACAAGAACTTTGCATTCCAATTATCCATTTTTGCTTTGCCTCACGCCTTCAACCGTTATCATATGTACCAAGCAATTGTTCTTTGGCAACAGAACCAGCTCTATGTTGGTCAGCTCAGCCACGAAAATGAGGAAACGCGAAAGGGTTTTGGTCTCTAGTGCGAACAGAACTTTCTCTTGGGATTTATTTTTTGTCGGTAAATATTGCAACTTTACGTGTAACCGATCTGTTGAAATTGGATAGAATGTAATTTGAGCATTTAATTAGGTTTTACTGCACGCAATTAAAATAAAAATGGTTGTATCCTGCTGAATAGATCTTAACTTTCATACAGTGAAACCTTATAATATTGTGTTCCGTTTTGACCTAAATTGAAATGTACGGTCTTCGTTTCAGCCGCGACAGTCCATGGATATTAATCTTTTGACCTCAGCAAAATCAGTCTCTGTAGCACTAATTCCAGCCGGGAGTAGTATAATAAAATTACGGTAAATATATAGGCCTACACATTTATGCTGAATGGATTTTCATATGCCATTTCAGGAATTATATGCCCGTATGTTATGGTCAAAGTTATAACAACATGCTTCAACTGGCGCTTCAACCAGAGCGTAAACAGCACATTCTACGTCAAGTTGATCTATGTAGCAGGTTTGACTGGAACATAAGAGTAAATCTTTAACCTTTTCATGGGTATTGATGTTAATGTTTACAGTTGCTGGATGGCTTCGATTTCTTCCGTTATTCACAACAACGGTAATTCTGCCCTAAAATCCCCTTCTTCCCGTAGTGAGAATTATTGCCATGGGACACTCACAAAGTAAAATTTTACGGTTGTTTTTAACAGTATAAAGCCTGAAAGCTTTCGCGCTTCATTTCGTTCCTCCTTTTTTCCCATCCCCATCTCTCCAAAGTTGAGCGTCTGTATCAACTTGTCAGCGGCTGCAGATCATCAAAAAACAACTGGAACAGCAACCGAGTTATGAGCGCCGCACCGATGCCGTGGGCAGAAGAGACACCGGCGGAGAGTTGCCCAACTCCCCGGTGGCAGAATTGCAGCAACAACAACCCTCACTCGCCTTCAACTAAGCCCCCCTACTCATCAACGCGAAGGACCCTTTTATCCGTCTGGTATCAACTCGGATATACTGGTGTCAGATTTTCTTGTCCGATGCGGGCCACCAGGACTGGCATCGAAGGGCACTCGCTCTTGTTTTGCGAGTTGTGCCCGTTTCTGTGCGACAGGTCAACACCTGACTTTCTATCTCGATTGTTTTGATAATTTTGGTTTTATAACCCAGGAAATGCTACTTAAAAATCTGAAAACGCTGTAATTACTGCAACGAGCCTTATGCCATCTAAATCTTCATGGTTATAATAGTTTTTCTTACTTTGTTAATCCACAGATGATCATTGGTTAACGCCCATTACTCTTTAGACTTAAATTAGATTTAAATTGGCAGCCAATACGATCGGTTTAAGCAGCTGTCTTCTTTTATCTTGCATTTAACTTGTGTCTTTTAGACCTGTGATAAGGCCTAGGAAATTTATAGATTTATTGTCAAAACGTAAAACAAGCCAGAAAGACATAGGTTTGTTCTCATAAAATGTAGCGCTCAGTTTTAAGGACTACGTAGTTGTCTTGCAGAGAATTATTTCAAAAACATGCCGGTAATTCACTGCGGTTGAAAATTGTCATTCGTATGGCATTTTTGTCTTGGAGTGGTAAGCAAACAGCACACGCTGTAGCATGCATCTACGTTACCGTGGCAATCAACCATCGAAGGTGGTCTCAGGCAGACATTCCGTCCAATCAATCAGGTCGTTGCATGTCACGTGACCCACCCATTCTCCCCACAACCAACCAATCGGAAGCCAGTGTCCAGGAGGTAAAAAAATGTAGGATACAGAAAGAGGAAAGGGGAAACAACCCCGGCGACTTGACGAGCATTATCGCTGTGAGTATTAATGCCTATCTGGCAATCTGATTGATTGGGTTGTTAAATTGCGCCCGCCCCGCTCCACACAAGGCATATCACCGCCCCACACTCCACGTCAATAGTTAACAGATCAGCGCTTCTCACTGGATACACAACCGGTTGGTAGTGTACACTTCAATAGTGGCATGTGGTCGTTTGGTCCCATTTTACTCTTCCTAAAGTAAGGTGTAACAATACTGCTAAGCACATGACTTGTAGTCCTGTAATCCACAGATACTGTTATTTTCTTTGGCGAGGAAGATTTCGGTGTGCTAAATGTGCTGGGGTTTTGGAAGATTTCGGCATTGCACCGGCACGATCTCAAGCTGCAGTTTGGTTAAATCGTTGCGGTAGCCAACACGTTTTATATGTCTATTTTTAGTCTCAAGTGCTTGGCTCAACAGTGGTGACTTTTGTATCCTTGTCGACGAGTTGTCATTCACGCCGTGCCGGTTGGGTGTTCGAATGTACTTGCCCAGCATGGCCGATTCCATGCTCTCCTTACAGAACTTGATGGAGGCAACCCGCTCTAGTGCCTTCATCATGAGTAACCCACCCCTAGCCGCGCTACACAGCATGACCGAGAAGACACCGGCTTTCCCCTACCCGGCCCAGCCTGCTTGCCTGACGTCCACGGGAAGCTACAAGCCCATGGCCATGACTTACCACCCAACTCTGGGCAACGCCACCCCGCACGGTATCTCGGACATTCTGGGCCGGCCGGAGAACAGCGGGGCGGCCGCAGCTGCAGGCTTCCTCACTGGAGTCTCGCGGTTCGGCTCGCCGTTCAGCACGGCGGCTAACATGTACCTGAGTCGCCTAGGCAAGCCGGTTACAGACTTGCATGTGCCGACCACTGGACCAGCAGCTCTGTACTGGCCGGCAAATCTCTTACATTCCCCTGCAGCATGGAGGGACCCACGTTTGCCTTGTCCACCAGGTAAGCCTCTCGTAAAACTTGCTATTTAATTCATAAAACTCTGTTCACAGAGAAAAACGTGTGAAATCACCAGAGTCTGTGGCTGTGTAATGCTTGTGATAAATTAGATTGAGGTTTCTGACAGATAAGAAACAACTTGGCGTTGAAAATAACACCAAATTCAACAAAACCAATTCAAAAAGTTTTCCACTTGGATATAGGAAGGGTGGACTCTTTAGGTCTCATCAGAACATATCTTGGAAAAAGTAGCATCTCAGGCAGACGAGCTTGAATTCAGAGGCCTCATCTGAAAATTATTATGTATCACAGTGAAATATCCATCGCAAGCAAGTGTGAAATTCTCTGGAATAAATGGTAAATGGTTTTTGTGTCAGACATCTAAGAAATATCTCTAATGTTTGTTCCAATGCGAACAAGCCCTGAAGTTGCTATAAGTTGAGTTTTGGCAAAAGACAAAGTTGACAAACCCGAAAGTTTCTGGATAGATTGGCCTGTATTTTAGCGTGCGTTGGATATTGCTGTCATTATAAGGATTCATGTTGTTTCAATGGGAGTATATGAATGATCTTAAATGTATTTTGAAGGGGCTGACATGTTTCGGGTGCAGATGTTAATCTGGTACCACGTTCCGTCTTGTGCATTGCTTATAGAGCTTTTTGCCTACTCAGAGTGGAAATAATCAGTATTATTAACACAAATCCCAATATGGCGATGGGGCGTTTCACGACAGGTTGTACAGATAAAAGTCGGCTTTAAAAGCCGGTGGAAATAATTCAAGCTGCTCATTTCCACAAAAAGTATTTGGACTTGTACAAGATGAGTTATCACCAGGAAACTAAACGTCTAAACAAAAAATCTCTGTTATAAGAAAATTGCGCTTAATGTAAAATTCCTGAAAGACACCAATTATGCTGGCGAGGACATAATTTTGTTGAGGGATTGTCGTGTAAATAACGTTTCTGTCCGCTTGTTTAATTTCATCAACAATTTTGCAGCTGAAAGCATTAGTTATTTTGATACCAGATTTAAGTGTTGCCGTTCTGATATGAATGATTCAGTTTAGTTGTGTAGTCGAAATAGATTGTGCTACATTGAGTTAAAGAGGGCCCTCAACTCTTGTGAAGGATGAATTTGGTCGTTTTGTTGCAACTTGGCCCCGGTAAGAAGCGAAATCTCATTTTACACGCTGTTAATTAATCTAAGCCAGATTGTGCCAGAGCTCAGTATTCAAACCAAAACAACTGAGCAACCATATCAGCTCAGTATTATGTGATTGTGGAAGGAAGAGGAAAAGTTTTAGACAAGACTGCGTGATTGCTGGAGCTATTGCGTCATTTTGTCAGATCTCGTCGTCCTGGTGTATTTCATGTACGCTTCAAAATGTGCGTTCTCAGATGAAGGATTAAAATTGTCTCTAAATCAACCTCTATTTTCTTTCCCATGGGACATGGTTTTGCAAGTCCCCTTCCTTCAAACCAAAATTGTCTGAGTTATATAAGGCCTGGAGCAAAACCCACTCTTGTACATTGTACCTTCTTTTTGAATTGTGAAGCAACAGTGATTTGTCAAAATTGTAGTGATGCTTCTCGTCACCATAAAAGAGAATTAGTGATAACCATCAAAGACTTTTATCGAAATTTTAGCATCTTCGACTTGACTGTATAAATGAGCAAATTAATCACCGTTCTCAGTGGAGTTACTGGGTGCGTGTGAGTTTCTATGAGTTGGCCTGATCCTCGACAAAAAGAACGAGGAGATAAATTGCTGGGTTTCTTCAGAACATTAAAAAGAACAAAACTGATTAGCTTCCCAACAAGGTAAGGAGCTGCGAATCTGAAAATATGGCATAGTGGCAATTTGGGAATTTGCAGCCAATTGCAAGATAAACCTATATTATGCAGATGGTCATTCGATGGTTTATGTTGCTTGTGGGATATAGGGGCTATTCCTTGTTCCAATGAGAATGGGAAAACATCTGAGAGAAATTTAAAAACATCTTTAAAGAGACGAAAAAATGTGTGTCCTAAACGTAAAGCCTGTAAAAATAAATGATTATAAATGATATAAATGAACTGTGTACAGCTCTGTCAAAATGCAGAAATCCACAAAAAGCAAAACAACAGAGCGTGTACTCTTCAAACAAAAAGAGACCAAAAATCTTTGCGTATAATAAAAGTATGAATTACATGACATGCAGTTAAGCACGAGTATAGATCCACGAATCATTAAATTAATGAAATTGCCTGTAAATTGGTGGAAGTGGCTGACATGTGGATATTGATATCTTACCGACGTACCGAATGTCATCAACAAGAATAATTACAAAGAGCCGAACAAAATTTAACGAACCATTCATCCAACGGTTACCACCTTGTCTGTAAAACGTTTAAAAAAGAAAACATGGGAACATAAACATCCATTATTATTTTCAATTACATTGTGCAGTCTCATTCCCCATAAAACTATACGCACAAATCAATAAACCGCCGTGAGCGGTTTGTTTTGTCACGCGTTTGCCTGCACAGGCCAAAGACTAAATTATTGTCTGAAATGCAGCTTCATTTGCCAGTCGTAAAAGTTTTTATCAACTTTTATTTCCTGGGTCATCAAGAAATATCAACCTGACTCTTTAAAAGAAAGAAAAGAGTCCGTGGAAGGGCCAAAGCAGTCGGTGGTTTCACAGCAAGAGAAACGATAAATCTTCCGGCGGGTCGTTACGATGTCGATGAGGATAAAACCCAATGGCCACGCAATTGATTTCATTAGTGTGAAAGCAGTACACCGGCAGTAGCATCCAAACAAGCCAGCGGTCTACTCCCGGACCATGTTAACGGTTGCCGGTGCGCGCTGCTGTATAGCTACAGAGCTGATCCAATGTAGCTTCTCGTATAATAAAAAGAGAAAAAAAAGCTTTGGGGAAAAAAACCCAAATCAGCGCAGTACATGATGATCTTGGCTCTTCCAATCAAAGGATGGTGTCATAAATGTCAGTCTGGGCGCTGATTTATGTAATATTTACCGTATTCGGGAGCTAGGTTTCATCAGAACGGGCCGTTACGCACCGTTGAGGGTTGTCTAGATTTGTACGCCGCGATCGCGTTGGAAAAATATTCGCCTTGAGGATTTCGTTTTCAAGATATGTTCTAAGATCAAGGCCTTAATCTTTATTTCTATTCACCAGTCATGCTCGGAGACGTCTATCTCAAACCAGAATCGGATTTTTAGAGGTGTTAAAATAAATCTATTATTTCAATCAGAATTTGGTTATAAAAGTACCGCGTGGAGGTTGTCTTTTCTTTGCCTCACATATCCCCCCACTTTGACCCTGTTGCCATTCCCAGACTTTTAATTTGTACTGGTTTCATTTACAGTATTTAATCAACTCAAACGCTGAAAAATTCGTACACATTATTAACCAACGAAATCACATCAAAAATAATTCGACTTGGAATGATGTCACAAAACAGACTGGAATGTATAGCTTTATGAAGTTGACACGCTTTATTCTCTAGTTTTCATTTCTTGTTTGAACAAGATTAATTTCCTACATCTGCAAAATTAATTTAAAGCTTATAATCTTTAAATGGTATAAGATTAAACCTGTCACGAAGTACCTTTAAGAACGCGAACCTTTGTCACACGAGGAAGCAGTTATGCACGTAAATATAAATTACCATAAAACCTTAATCAAAATTAATAGGGTAGGAGTTTTCTTTTATTCGAGCTATTTGATTATTGAAACGTTATTCAAAATCAGTGGTGTCTATGTGGCAGTCTCTGTTTAACCCTCTTTTAAGTTGGGTCCTTTCCTTAGTTTGTTTCAAATCTCTTCGCAATGGCAATTAATTTTCACCGTTGCTGTGCTAAATTCTATTTTACACAGTGAACAATGATGTTTAATTGATTCATTTTAATGAATTTTTAAACACATCACGTGTACTACAGTTTTATCATCAAACATTCAAATAGCCCCACACAATGCTCTTTTTGATTGTAATGAAATAAAATTATTGAATTTGACTGTTCATATTTTGCCAAATTTGCCAGGAAGACGTTCATGTGTTGAAAGTTCGAATTCAACATTTAGATCTTATACTGACCCAATCAAACTTCCATGACTGTGTAGATTGTTCAAGTTCCTATTCCATATGAAATTACGGTGACATTTTCGTGCTAATCGTCATGCCTTTCCTAGAAAAGAGGTGACGAATTAACGAAAAATTTATCCTTCGCGAGTTGCCGGTGAATCTGATTAAAGACTATGACCCATCTGCTTCACGCTAAAGGTAAATTTCTTTACCAAATAATTTGGTCGATTATGGTATCATTTTTACAGATCAAGTAACTTTTTTACCACTCATTAATCCCAAAATAACTTGATGGGCAACCTTTTTAGTGAGATAGAAGGCCCGGAAGTCAGTTTGTTCGAACGATTGGTGGCGCTGTAAATCTGTTTTTGCGCATACCACTCGCCGAACTTTCTTTTTAGAGCACTAACAACAAACTCAGCTGTAATGCACCATTGCAACACAGCTTTATCTTTTCATGCTTTTGGAAAATCCTTTTTTCATCCATATTAATTATTTATCTGTGTTAATCAAATGTATTGTAACTCATGTAACTTAAGTAAATTAGCCCATTTCTCAAAAGAAAAATTGAAAGAATCAGCTAGCATTAGGCTAAGACTGAGATTAAGACTAAGACTGAGCCACGATTGAAGTAATGAGAAAAAGTTGATACGGCCCTGTTTGACCGGGCATGTGCATCTTTTTCCGTTACCAGTAGCGCGTGGTTATAGGTCTAGTCGGTATCCGTTCTTTCTTCAACATTATATTTGGGACGAGAACTAAATACATGAGAAGCATTAATCAACCAGACATTGAATGTTTGGAACTAGTTTATGCCACTTGCAATTAAATCCACTGTCTTGACTGCGTTTGAACAAAAGATTGGACGATTTGTGAGACACATGGTCGTGCGTGACAATATATTGAAGCGAATAAAAACACGCACATTACTTGCAGCAATTGGTAGCGCACAAAATACAGAACTCAACTTCTAGGAAATAAACCTACAACGTCGTTGAAGATTGTTTCAACAAGGAAGTAAAGTTGGTGATTTCATGCATGATCGAAGCAAGCACTCCTGTGCTGAGAAACTCCAAGAAATGTTCTCCCGTAGGAGTGGGTCCCAAATCACGCCATGCAGCCTTTTAAAGAAGAGTTTCAACCGAATCTTCTCATTTCCGCGTTCCCCCCTTTTTTTTTTAGTTCAACCGGCTTCTCAAAGTGGCAGCCCCGTTGATAAGGACGGAAAGAAAAAGCACACGCGACCAACCTTCTCCGGACAGCAGATCTTTGCCTTGGAGAAGACCTTTGAGCAAACCAAGTACCTCGCCGGACCGGAAAGAGCTAGGTTAGCTTATGCTCTCGGAATGACGGAGAGTCAAGTTAAGGTAAGACTTTGAATAAATGGTTGCATGTACATATTGATCCTTTATTTATTTCGGCTAAGGTTAAGAGGAAAAATGTTTGGACCGGAATACTGGACAGGTCGCAGGTTGAAATCACTACTGCATTTTCAATTGGTATTATCAGACCAATCAACTCAGCAGTTGGCAGGATTCACTGATATATATATTCTAATTTTAGAAGTCTTTTTTTTTTAGTAAACCTCGTTATTGAAGTCGTCGTGGAGAACCTTTACAAGTGCGATATCTTGTTAGTTTCTGATGTCAATCAAATGATGCACTGCCGTATTTTCAATTTGCGTCACTGGGGACCTGACAATAATATTGTCGGGCATTTTTTCAATCCCCGAGGGCCCTCTGTCAATATCAAAGATAAAAGTTTCAATTTGTTGAGGACTTCTTTCAAACAAATCCGCCAAGTGAGTAACGGACTCAAATAGGTTGGTGTGGCCTGAAGTGCGAGCAAACATGGATAAGATTTCGCTGTGTCGCGATAACCGAGCACCGTGTTTAAGTGCTTTTCCATGACCAGAAGCTGCGAATTACAAGTATTCCACGGCCCGCACAACAACAGACAACGGGTCAATTGACGCGGCACACCGCAGAGTGAATGCGGTCGGGACACTGCAACTGACAGCTCGCCGGCCGTGTGATAATTCGCGGTCTTTGCCCCCGAGGGCGCTCTTTAGCAGTTTCCGGAACGGGGGGGAATCGATTTGCCGGTCCTGGGGTTTATTGCCCCAATCAAAACGCCATCATATTTACGCAGGTATTGATGAAGTTTGGAGAGGCTCAAATTGGTGAAATACCAGCTGACCGAGAAAAAAAAAATCAACCCCGATTATGTAGAGTGAGTTCAGGGCCGTTCGATGTTGAAAATACATGTAGCCCGCCAACAGTCATGAATGAAGTGAGAGGTAAAGGTTTTAGCGTGCTTTTAGCTTCTTTAAAGTGGTCCGTCTCGGTTTGTCTCCATGTTAAAATTTTCCACGGAATACCTTAACTCAGAAGAGCTTTTCAGTCAAGGTGTGTGGCCTTCTGGACTTGTTTCTCACGTGTCAAGAAGTCGATCTTGCATTAGATGTTTTAGTTTGTAAATAAATTGCCACGGCGGCTAATAAATCTTAAAGACAAATGAATACTTTGGGGATAAAATTAAAATGATGGTGGAAATCCGAAAATGTTTTTCCTCAGATGCCTCCTCTTCAACATTTTCGGGTTGGAGTTAAAGGTGGATCCTTTGGTTTCTTTTTTTTTCTCCTTTTACCATTGTTTACATGGGTTCACCTCTTTTTATCCCCGCCGCTGAGGCGCTTTAAAATGCCCAGATTCGTTTTGATTAGGCAAGCCTTGGCTTGCTTTTCATGAAACAAAGTTTTATCAGAAACATCAGGTACTCGAAACATTGAATCACTCCTTGTATGCGCGACAGTATTTAGAAAGAAAAGGAAAACCTTCTGGTAGCCACGAAGTTGCAACGAACTTTGAGTGGTGCCGTGTACTTACTTCAACATTTTACCCTATTACTCACACTCATTCAACAACCCATTAGGTGGCCACACGTGTTGCAAGTACACCTCATCATCAGGGAAAAAATCCTAGCCAGCCGGTTTTAAAAAGTGCAGGCGCTCCGTAGTAAACAAGGTACGGGTGAAATTGAGCGATTAGCCCTTCGCATCGATCAGAGGCTCAGCCCGGCGTTCACGAGGCTGCCCTGGCGCCCACACCTGCTACGTTGAGTTCAACTCACCGCGTGCACCACCGCAATCTCTGGCCGATAGATACACACGATTTCCCCGTGGGCTATCCAGCGGAAAAGAAGAAACGCTGCCGTTGTTTGTCGGCAACTTTTGAATCAGAGCAGAAAAAAAAAAGAAAATAGAGGGGGAAAAGTAAATAAAACACCTCGAACCACTTTAAGACTCTCAGTCGGATCCGAGTCCCATTTCAAGTGATTATCGGATGGCTTTCATGATAGCAAGGTGTTCCCTCTGCTGCCTGGGGCAATTTCATCGGATACTTTTGATGCGAATTCCACCCACGAGGCACGTCAAGTAGCATTTGAACATTGTTAGGTTTGCATGCGAAACTGTTTAATTTGAATAGACTACAGACCTCTCTTTTTGAAATAGCTTCGTACAATGTTTGATTGAAAATTATTTTAAGGTGGAGGAGTTTACTCTCAGTGAAGCAAATCCTTGGTATTACTACACTGAAATGGTCATTGGTGTTGGAAATTTTAAATCAACAGCACAATGGTCCTGTATAAGGGCGCCGCCAACGAGGGCACGCTACAAACAGGATCGCCCGAGCCGCAAATGCCAAAGAAAACTCGACTAGAATGTCGTTATGAAGTATTGCGAGTAAATAAAATGATTGGGGATTAGGCCGTGGCCGGGCCTGAAGGAGAACGGGGATTAGGGATAATTTGCCCGGATCAGTCTTTATTACTTCAGCGTGTTTGGCATGATGGAGAAACGCCAGCGGACAAACAAGGCCGGTACACGCGGGGAGGTTAAGCTCCCTGCGTATAGGCTGGGGCCCAGGTCGGCCTGGTGTCCCCGATACAGGCAGACACAGTGCACAGTCTGGTTGCGGTATTAGTTATGCTCGAGATGTGGGATCAGCCTCGCAGTGTCATTGACTGACAGATAGTACCCAGGTGTAAAAGGGGGCAACTCGATCTCGGTTGATAACTTGCATTGCACGCATCACTATCCACTCTGATAAAAAGTAGGTTGTGTATATAATGTGCTAGATTTACCATCGGCTGGAACACGCAGGCGCAAATGTGTGAACTTTTTAAGTGAAATAAGTAAAAAAAAAAGCAGTACGAGCTACTTTCAAAGCAATTAACTTGACTCTACACCAGCAGGGAATTTCTGGGCTGGTAATTATTTGCCGGTTGCCTGATACTAACATCTCTCTGTCTTACGAGTTTGCATGGATACAAAATCTGGATATTCAATCGTCGTGTTAATGGTGTAAGCGCATGCGCGTGTTTGAGAAAGAGTCAATTCAGCACGACAGTAAATCTTGCTTACACGCGAAATTGAAAAAAAAAAAGTTGAGTCGGAACAGTGGATGGTATCTGATGATTGGCTTGTTAGCGTATATCGACATCCTCCCTAGTTCGCCGCCTGTTGTGAGTGGCACTAAGTGATGAGAGACGAGGCAATGAGGCCGACACTTCTGGAATAACACGACCGGCTCGTTCTCCATCAAAGCAATACCCGTGGGGAGGGGAGAGATCAGGTAAAGGGGGGGGGAGAAACGGAAAACACAGCAGCAAACAACCCAAGACGACAAAATGTTTCAGCTTCCGATTCGTCTTGTAAAAGTTCAAAATGTCAGAGGTTCAGAGGGCCTGGCCTTGCCCCTTTAAGTGGAGTCCGATGGATTGGAAACAAGGCCTGCGCGACTGTGAACGAAACAAGAAATAAACTTCCACTGCCATATGTACAAATCGTTGGCCTTTAACATAAACCCTATGGTAAGAAGATAGAGTGACTTATTTCTGCACATAATGCCCTCATCGTATTTGGAAATCATCGTTACAGTACTGACTATTTGGGAATTATGCGATTTTTTTCCCAGATATCTTTACCTTGTATAAATAAAGTTTTGAATGTTAAGCAGTCATTTCAGTGCTGCCAGAAAAACGGTTTTGAAAAAAGAGCTCAAAAGGAAGAAAAAAATGGAAAAACTAGCAAAATAACGCGAACAGTGTATCCTCAATTTGACAACGCCTAGTGTAGGCGAAATGGTGGCTTTATCTGTGAATCTGTGCAACAGTTCGGCTCCTTTGCACTCTTGCCACCAGAGTCGCCAGCTATGGCTCCCTTTATAATGCAACCATCCTTCCATTAAGGTCATCTGTCCTTTGTGGCCATTAAAGTTTCACCTGCCATTATTTCGTAGCTATTATTTAATGCCCAGATGGGGGCTATTAATTTACCCGAGGAGTTCCAAGTTCCCCTTCTTCGTCACTCCATGGCTGTAGCTTCTAATAAAAATAATATTTTCAGCTTCCCCCCGGATCTGTCTTCGTTGGTGGTCATTCCACCCGTAAGCCCCGTCGATATCAAATCGGTATCAGGCAGACAGGTGGGGCATTGTGTCAGGGAGCCCTGCGGGTACCTATCAGCGCGCCAAGCGGGCCGTCTTCAAAGGATACTAGCCCTGGAATCGTGATGGCGTCATTTACACCTCCGCAAATTCAAGTCTCAGATTTTCTAGCAGCGCGAGATTCTCACCGATAGATACCCGATCCTTGCACTTTTTCTTCAACGTCTCAGTATGGATGGTTGCATCTTCATGATATTCATTTCCACATGTACCATAATAGTCGTACCCCAGACCTCACCAGCTTAAAATAAGCGGAAGAGTGGGTATAAAGTGCAATTGATTGAATTTGAAAATACCAATGTGCTGGGGGAGTTACAGGTTATTGAAAAAAGTTTGGTTTTTTTTTCGAACATATGAATTATAAGGCTTTGCGTGGTAGCCATCTCGCAGGGCATTTCTTTTGTTCCACAGGGAAACCCCCTCTGTGTATAACTTGTGGAACAAAACACTGGCCTGCAAGATGGCAGCCATGCAAATCCTCTATAGATTGGCTGCTGCTGTGCTGCACCGCTGCTACTATTAAAAGCCGCTTGACTGTTGTTATTGTTGCTGCTGCCAATGCTGCCGCTGTTAATGTGTGTTCTCTTATTTGCGTCCGCAAGTGTCATTGTCAAATTTGAATTTTCTGCACGGTTATCACTTATTTTCTTTTCCATAAATGAAAATTGCAATTATTGTTTATGGCGCCATTTACAGTCTTTCGTATGCTCTCAACGCAACGAACTCAGTCATTGCTTACTTGGCCAGCCCCTGACTGGAGAAAGAAAATAATTGTTTGCAGGAGTTTATCATCATACTTGACGCCGAAGGGAATGGGTTTTATGAGTCTCTTCCGAACCGAACATTCGGGGTTGGCAGTTAATACAGCAGTCAAAATGACGGTAATTATGATTAGGTACATGCAACCAATTTGTGTGAAATGACGCGCAAAATAGCCAGTGCTTGAGGGGTGTACGCTATACGTCGAACTGGAGCAGCGTCTGGTGCGAGTGTATGGCCGCATTACCCCGAGGGCTTTGTCTTTCAGAAAATGTTCGCGAATTCCTTGAATTATCCATGAATTATTGTTTATAATAATGAAAATTTTAGGCCAACATCTTTCCCATCACGATTTTTTTCAGAATATTCAAACGAAAATACTTTCTTCTTTCCTGTTGCGTTTGCATTAATTTGATTAAAGAGGAGCAAATTTAAAATAAAAAGCAAACGACATTAATTTTTCTCCTTCCCTTTTCTTGAATGTCTGCAAAATTGCATTAACTTTTAACCACTACGCATTTCTTTTCAGATTTTCCAAGTCCCAAAGCCTCATTTGTACCACAAACGGTTAAACTCATCCTCGGCCAGTTTTAACTATTCTAATATCTGCTCCAAGGGCCAATTTCCTATTTTTTCAGTGGCATATCGATTAACGCATCTCTAAAATGGCTGTCGCCTTGGCTTTTGGCAGTTTCACTTTACACGGAGAAAACCTAATTACTATCTTGAGTGACGTTGATTGGTTAAGAATCATCAACAATTGGGCCTACGGACCGCACTAGATACACATGCATAGTAATGATACACCGCCATTATTATTATTCCGCGGCAAAACGAGCGCACGCAAAACGATGCACACTCTTTCTCGCCCAACGTGACAAGTGCCAAATCAAGGGTTTTGCTGCCAAAAAAAAAAAGAGCGCCTGTGGAGGAGGGGGATGTCGGCACAAACATTATTCCGTGTAATTTATCAATTTGTGTAACAATGTGCAGTCGGCATGGAAGAGACGGCGAAGAGATGAGGAGGACTGGTCTCAGCCCGCGGAGTCAGCACAACGTCATCTGACTAATTGGGCAGGGAGATATCATAATGGCGTTGTCACCGTAATGATTCACGGTGTTTGCGCGCCCAAAAATTATGGCGGGAAAAATCGTGTTGATCGTCTGCGCGGGCACGTGCCGGGGCAATCATTAGTCTTAAATGGTCAACTATTGCCGTTTACATGTGTATCATTATCGGCGATAGACCTATGTGCGCCAGCGCTCGTGATATCGAAGCCAGTGTTGGTTTTTGTTTGTCCACTTCCATTTATCATTCTCTATTTCAACAATTCTGGTCCAGTCTTTTCTGGTCTTTTAGAAAATTTTGTTTTTACTTTATCTTTGTTCCACCAGCTTCGTATTTCTGGAGGTCAGTCTCCTGTTTTGAGGGATTCTCTTTCTTGTTTTCTTTCTGCTGATAGAAAGACATAGGCATTTTGATACATTTGAGTATTTATAGTTTTGAATACTTGTTTCCTTTATCCGGGCGTTTGTTGTTTTGTTCAAATGATTTAAAGACTAGTTTTTTTCCAAAAAAAGCCGGCGACAGTGTAATTGAAGGATGGTTTCCTACAAAATGCAGTATGAAGTTCAGATTAACTAAAACGCTTTACGCGTTGGGCGGCATTTTATTGGTAGAATTAAATACATGTACTTAAGTTCATTTGAATTTTAAAAATCCATAACTTTAAGATTTCCGCAGGCTTTCTGAAGACAAAGTACTCCGACGACATTGCTTGCAAAGCTTTAAAAATGCCCTTGTCGTGTACGACGCTGTTGATTGCTGGAGCGGAAATTGTCTCATATTCTCACCAGATTTTCTATTGTGGTTGGTGGACTATACGTTCAGCTCGCTGAATTTACTTCCATCCGCAAACGAACGCATTCAATCACCATGATGACATACGCGCACTTTGATCAGCACATGCTGGAAATTAAGCTGCCCAAAACAATATCTTTCCCCGGAAGACGCAATGAACCAACAAGACAGGAGTGATCATGGTAGTTGTAGAGGAGGGAAGTAGGGGCGGTCCTAATCTGCTAATCTCAGGATGAGGGTGGCCCGGGCCTCGCTGGAGAGAGCACTCGAGAGTTACCTGTCACCGCAGCAGGTTGCCGGAAGTTACAGGAAGCCGATAACGACTTCCGCGGGTTCATCAATGATGTCCGACCGGCCCTCTGCCACTTCATCCCCCGGTCGTTTAGCATCTGTTCCGGCATCTTATTCCTACACATCATCATTGTCGTCCTCCTCATAATCAGGCTTTCGCTTCGGAGTTTTCAGACAGGGCCGTAACAGAAGTAGACCCATGATGCCCAGGACATGTTCCCTTGTTTGATTCAGGTGGGGCACGGGGCTTAACAAAATAATGATCACCGGTGGCTATAAATGTGATGCGAGTGAAGAGTGCGGGCAAGACACCTACCAAATCAGCCGTACGGAAGCCGAATGCATAATGGTGCGCTTGTAATACCACTGTGGCTGTTACCAAGCCTTGGTAAGATACCGCAGCACAAAGCAGCTCAGGACAAATATAAAGAAACATCTTTTTGCGACAAACGCCAAAGCGTCAACATTAGTCACGCATGCGGGTCATTTGATGAATACAGGCCTCTCCTTCCATCGATAAAACAGGAAAGTTCTTGCTCCGTCATTAATTGGCGACAAACAGTAATCGTGAGGTTGTAGTTGACTGGGGCGGGCCGGCTCGAAGCGGCTCGAGGTTCGCGGTCAAAGACAGTTTAGTTTGCTTTGCTGTAATATTTGGCAATTACACTTCACCGTGCATGCTGGGAGTAAATACAGCCAGTAGGAGGAGGAAGTTAGAGGGAAGTAAGCCAAATGTTGGCGGCACTTTTCTTTCTGAGCTTAGCTTTGCATAGGAGTGGCGCTGTTGAGACAGCTTTCATACATTTGTCATTTCAGAAATGATGGGTTGGGGTGTTTTTGACCGCCCGGATTCTCATGAATATATTAAGGTCATCATGATGTGTACACACCGTCGTGTTTAGTAGACACAGCTTGGGCCGATGCTTACTGCAATTGGAGGACTGCAACAAGGACTTTTAGTGATCAGTTTTGAACTCCAACTTAGCCTTTTGTTCTGACCTGTGAATGAAACAAAGACATTTTGTGGTTCGCGTTTATACTGCTCATCTTTTCACAGACTGGTTGTCTATCTGCAAGTGTATGAACATGTAACTGGAATTGGTACCGTGGCTATCGTTTAAACTTGCACTCCACTCCGATCAGATTTTGATTGCTAAAAAATTAAAGGTCTCATATTATTGCTTTGTTTTTTCTGTTTCTCAAACGCAGGTTTGGTTCCAAAATCGCCGTACAAAGTGGCGCAAGAAACATGCTGCTGAGATGGCTAGCGCTAAACGAAAGCACGACTCTGAGACCGAACATCTCGCCGCTGAGAGCTCGGACCTAGACGACGGCCGGAGCGGCAATGGGCACGTGCCACATCAACACGGCCCACGCAGCGGCGGTGCCTCGGTAGTCACTAGGGTCGACCACCACACTGATGGTGGAGATATCAAGCGAAGGAGGCTAGACTGTGGGTTTGGTGGCTCCGACTCCTTGAGCAGTTCGTCGAGTTTATAGTTCATTCGGGATCCACTGAAGATCTTCTGCCGGGATGGAAGACAGGCAGTAAGCACACGAGTTATGCGCTATCATTAGCTGCGGCGCCGTAACTGGTTCCAGTCCATTACACAATGTATTCACCAGGGGCGCCAAAATGACCCAGATCATCAGGATGACCATAGAAAGTAGAAATCAATGTGGGGCTGCCACGAAACTCGACGAATTAAGAGGTTCTTCAGGTATAGGACAAATAGCTAGTTGCATAAGGTTAAAGTGAGACAAGATAAGTTGTTCTGCCAATTGCATCCTGATATCTTTGCCAAATAGCGTCAGGAACGTAGCAGAATGTGATGTAGAGCATTTTCAGTCACGTGATTTTTCACGGTCAGCGTTAAATTTACACAGATGTGTGCGGAAACTCACAAGCGTTTGAAGTTTCCCAACATTCATGAAATTACCAATGGAAATACACAGATTCGAAAATACACGCCTCTTCACGGACATGGTACGCTTCCTGAAATGCCTTTGCCCGTAATGTTACGTCACATGAAAACCTCCATTGTGATCAAAATGTTCTTTTGTCAAATATGTAGCCAATTTACTAGTAATTCAAGGGAAACGGGGACTTAAAACGTATGGAGAAAAAGGGTGAACTTAACTGTTTACCTTGTGAGAATGTCAAAAGTGCATGGATACTTGAACAACAGCCGCATAAAACTCGTACTGGTAACCATTTGACCTCTGGCACCAAGCAATATCTGACAAACAGACGCTATGCCGGATACATAGCATTCTTATTCATGTGTTACTTTGCACATTTCACGTCATGTTCACCTGCCACAAGGCCAACAATTTCTGGAAAAATACTGCAGCAGTTTTCTATCGAGCCGCTGAACCGTGTCGAGCCAGATACAGCTCCTATATTTCTCCATTTAGTTTAGAGACAGATGTAGAATGGTGTTTGTTGAGAGACTGCAATGTATGTTGTTTTAAAGTAACAGTAAAACTTTCATTACAGTTTCCAACTATTGTTGCAACAAGATATATCGCTCCGTATACAATCTGTATTGCTCAGTATCCCGAGATACAACACCCTTAAAATCATAAATTTGTGAAGAATACAAATCTTCAAACAATGTTTTGTCAATAGAACATTTTAAAGGCCAAAATAATGAAGTAAGTCATGTTTCATGAAACGATTGGGTCAGTGTTAAGAGAAAATTGGTTGGTTAATTAATATAGATCGATCCGAAGTTGTTCCTTACATTAAGGTGCAACATACTGTACCTTTGGAGCCAAATACCATCTGTGATATTAAACCTCGCTGGTATTTACAGGAATATTTATTTATATTAAACTATGGCCACTCTGAAATATACACAAATTCTTTACGTCGTACATGCATACGACAGAAAAAATATTGATTGTAAATATTATACAAACCACACATTCATGAAAGTTGTTTAAATCAACAAGCGTGGGGTGAATAAGTGGCGATTTTGAGAATGTCATTTGTTGAAAATGGAGCCGTTACGCTTCATTACCAGAGCGAAGATGGGGAGGGAGAGCATGTTTCCCCCTAGTTATCAGCTTGTATGCGAGCGCAGCAACAAATGCGTGCGTCAAGCAATTTGTATTGTACATTAAGAAACACCTTGTAACAGGAATCAAAACGCTGAATTTTAAGTTATAAAAAATCGGCTATTAGCTGCACGTTGTCGTATTAGGCATCATCGACAGACATGAAGATAAACCAAAACTAATGCAGTGAAAACATCACAATATATACTTCAGTTGAAATAATCAATTTAATGTTATCAATCAATCATGGAATGAGTAGTATCCAAATAAATTTCGAATTTTTTTAACGTGTTCCCGTAGGTGTCCTTCACAAATTCACGATGATTTGTAGTCGGTGATCTCATGATTGTAAACTGTTATGTTTCTACTTGAAGCTTCATGTGTAGATTTTACATCATTGACGCCCTGGTAGGAATAAACGAACGGATTTCTTTCGTCACTGGATGTAGGCCTACTCATTCTTATGTTTTGTTCGAAGGAGAGCACTGTAAGTCGGCGGTTAGAAGTGATAGACTTTCTTGTGAAAATTTTTTCTATTCGATGTACGTTTACAACGATGCAAGACTGGTTTAGGGGGTTGCAATACGAGACTCCAATTTAAACCATTATATGAGCAAACCCCATCAGTGTAATTTTCAGAAAATTTTTGCTGTTTTAATTGCGAAATGTACTTCCTCAAAACGCTTATTGCGTGAAACATTTTTTTGTGATATGTGTACACTACGACCCAGGACATGATGCTTGTCGTCCTGACCTTTTTTATCCATCAAAATTTTCAAGTCAAAATGTCACCTTGGATATAAATGGAGACCCTTTCAAGGGAGCGTAGTGTGCCAAGCTTGCCTTAGGCTGTCTCTCTGTTATTGAATTTAAATCTTGTGGTTTTTATCAGCTGAAGCCAGTGCTCACTGGTGATTGAGAATTATGTAATTTACATGAGATCGAAGTGTGAAACTGTTGACATCAGATTCCGTGCAGCCATGTAGATGAATTTCAAACGCATGGTAGACCTCACATTCTCACAATGCAAACGATTTTGATTTGAGATTAAATCTACCCCCAGCAAAATATTTCCCCTCTCAAGTACTCTTCAAGTAAATAAGGTAAACACCATTAATTGCAGAATAAAACACATGTAAACTGCAAGCACAATGGAAAGATACACATTTTATACCAAAAGCTAAAGAGTCTGCCCTTTCTAGTAACTTGTAAATCGACATAAACTTAGCCTTAAGGTATTATTGAAGGACTTTACATTTTTCAATTTATTAAGATGTCTCATTAACGGTTCCTTAAACATCTTATCGGAAATCACGGCTGTCAGAGGGAAAAATAAAACACGACCGGAAAATGTAAAAGAGTAATTTAAACGAAAATTCCACCAGTGCGCTCTTATCTGTAATATACCTCTTCTTTGAAACCTAATGAAAAAATACAGACTTAGTCCTCATATATTGCTTCATTATATTAATGTAAATATTGTAAATAAACATTGCCGTTTGCCAAATACATATTAAATAAATTACTGTATCAGAAATCAGATTAGTTGTGTATCTGTGTGTTGATATGACGTTGCTCATGACCTTTGGTCGACAAATCTGTGGCCATTGTATAAATGGTAATTTTTGACACTTTCCGCCTCTATTTTTGTTCATATTTGGTACGTTCACAGCATTTATATGGAATTTAAAAAATAACAAAATTAAGTTTAACAAAATCTGAAAACCTGAAGTCAAAACGTTTGGCAAATGGTGAGGAATCGCCTCGGAATGCACAAATCTCCTATCACGTTTCAAAGATTAACACCGATTAACACATTTTGGTCTCTTGTAATGAGTTGGGCATTGTCGCTCATACCGGCAAATGAAAACGCTTGTTTGTACATTTTTTGTGAATCTAAAATTGAATAAATACGAGTGGACCAGTGGAATTGTCTTCATTCTAGCACTTTGTTAATCTTTTCGAAGAATAGGAACTGTAATTGTTTCCTGGACAAACATGCACAAATACTGATTTTGTGAAATCAGTTGATTTTGTCCTGACTTTTTGTCGGATGGTTATAGAATAGTTTTCACACTATGAAAATGAACCAATAGGCCAAGAAGCCTATGAACAGCAAGGACGTACCCAACATGCACAACATGAACAAAGCATATCTCCTCTGTCAACACCTGATAAACCGACATCGGTTGTGTGGTGAAGTATCAAGACACTGTGTCATTCACTCGAACATCTCTCAAAATGTGAGTCGGACCAAGGTTGCAGGTTAGATCATGACGGACGACTCAAGTGACTTTTGAGTGCGATTTTAAGTCAAGGTCCCAGAGGTATCACAAACAAATTTTTTCCCATGTTTGGGTGCACTATCGTACACTATTGCCAAAACAAGAGTGCTTGGAATTTGGGTACCAAACTAGGTTATATATTAAAATTAGCTCTTGTCTTTCAAGAGAGTATTAAAATAGGTCATAATTACATACCCTGTGAGGGCGCCCTAGGACTTCATTTGCTTGTCATGCTGTTCTAATTGTTTTCCTTGGCATAATAATTCATCGTGATTCATATCTACACACGTCAGAAAATTTCTGAGTGCAAACCATTACTTTATAGTTTTTCTTGCTGAATGGAGCTTATCGCTCGAGTATTGAAGCACTACTTTGTGTGGACTGGACGCACGACCCACTATATAATTAATGTCGCATTTTTGTTTCTGAATTAGCATTTCCTCCAACTCTGTCGGCAGAATAACCGAGTGTTGACGCAAGAACGGTGACATGAGGATGGTATTTTGAAAACCTCAACGTCTTCCTCATTTTCAATACTGAGAATACTGGCCGCAGACGAGGAGTTTTAATCGAAACGGTCATACCCTGGAGAAATATTGTCAAACTGATCTTTACAAACTGGCTCCAAAACATGGATTTTTATTAACCTTTCAAAGGAATAAGCTCATCGTTATGGTACCGAGTTGAGGATGCATTGCCTCTTCGTATCAGGTCACGGTATTGTGGACATGAGGGTCTGTAACAAGTGCGTCCAAATTTCTATTAGATTACAACCAATTTGGCAAACTCGACGTTTTCAGGCTGATCGTGACAAGTTACATAGGGTAAAAACTTTCCTAAAATGAAACTGTCAATTCTATGTGATAAATGAAGACGGAAAAAACAATCTATTGTGCGTGGAAATGGTGCAGGGCGAGTGAGAAGCGAAGGGCAGGAGAAATGTGGAACACATTTAGAGACAAAACGGTTAGACATGATACCTAATCACTTGCAATAAGGTTACACAAAGAAGACTTTTAATTACTAATGGAAAAATGGCGCCCTCGTGCGTTGAGTCCTTTGACGAGATGACAAATGCCATTAAGACCCAGACAACGCCTCTATTTAAAGTGCTTGGAGAACTTCCATCAAGCCATTTCTTTCCCCGGAAAAGGGGGTTTCATCGTAGATTAGCAACGAATCAAAATAAACTCCAACTGATTGCGAAGCAGATATTGATTGGAATCACCTGAGGACCAGACATAGCAATACCGCTAGATGTCCGACCTCCAAAGAGCCCTTCAATCCTGAGGAATGACTTCTTGATTGTCCTGTTCCGGCGGCCAAAGGGAGAAAAAGACCCCTACTTCGAAAAGATTCTTAGTGGAGAGCTGCGCCGCGATCGAACGGCCCGATAAACGATCGGCGTAGCGGTGAAAAAGCAGACTCTGAGAACAGCATCTGAGTGTTTCAGCGAGCAGCTGGTTGCATCAAAGCACACTTAGCTTTTCAGAATGAATTCCGTAAGGGCTGATCGGTTGAGAGGATGACGGTAGCTATAAAGCCCAGTCGTTGAGTTGGAAATGAACTCTTCGACAGATGGTGGCACGATGTTGTTGAAATGTTCACTGGTTGTTACGAATCGCATTTCAATCGATAGTCTACTCCAAACCTCTTTCATGGTAATTTTGCTCCAAGTCATTATGAGCAGCCAGCACAAGTGCTGTATATTCGTGTTTTCGAAATAGTGCTTTCATAATCTCTGATTACTTAAGCATCATTGGGTGTTTGAATAATGATTAATGCGTGTACGGAATAAGCATGTAGCAGCAAGTGCAATCAAAAACGGAAATAGGCATTGACATTGCGTGGTTGTTGTCGCTGACAGCATCATTTTCACCATCACCATGTACCGATTTCACCACATTCACCATTCCCACCGACAAGCTGTATCCACCAAAATAACTGTACTCGTACCTATCATTAGAATTTTCATTCCTCGTTATGACTCTTACATTAAGTAAAAGAAACGACTTAATATCCAACAAATAAAATTAAATTACTTTACGGAAATCCACACAAGCACATTACGCGGCCATGCATTCCAATATATTCTGTTTTCCCATTCTTTTCTCCCAGAATCATGCTTTAATCCTCTCCATTCATAAAATAAAAGCAGTACTGTGTTCGACAATGACGAATTTTCTTCCTCATCTTCTTTTGCCTTCTTCTACGTGTGCCCCTTCCAGGCTCAACAAACATCTTTTCTCATCAACGGAGTGAACCCTCTCCTCAAGAACAATAGCATCTTACCATGTGTATGTTGCACACCACTATATACACGTGTAGCTGCTTCTACCATCAGAGAACATCAATGTCATTATGACCGAGGCTGTCAGTTAGTAGCCAGGATTTTGATTAACCAGATTGCTTTGATAACAACCATAGTCTTATTAATGTAATTAAAAAGTTGGGTACATGTCAGGGATTTTGTATAATTTCATTGATTACTCACACTGTCGTGGGCCGTCAGCGCACTCTTCATGATATACACGGTAAGCTTGGCCAGATTAAGTTTATACAAACCAAAATAAACAGTCCATCTCTCAAGACTAGATATTTCTTCATAAGCTTTTCCTGACTTTCGTTCGCGTGTGTGCATGGGGTAATCTTGCGGTATATCATTCCTTGGTGTCAGTTCATGCAGTGTTGTTCGTTACTTCTTTCCTGTCATTTCTGGCCTGTATTCCTTCCTTTATGTTTCTATAGTCCCTCACATTTCAAACTACACGTACTTTTACTTTTTTGGAAATTTCCCCAACCGTACGACACAGATACTCCCAAGTTGATAGTGGAGAACAGTATCAACAAAATTTAATTCTAGCCCAGCTGTCTATATCCACCTTATAAGCAATGGTCTTACAGGTGAAATTGCCAACATACGCGTATCTTGTCACCCGAAGCGTCGCAAAGCACTTACAGTTGCTACAGTAGCGTGATATATAAAATTCATGCAGTATTTTATGCCAATGGTGAGATTTAGAACAATCTTTGGGCGCAACCTTTCTCAGTACCTCCTCGCACAGACTACAATTAAAATCTCTTAATGAAACAGGTTTAATGAATATTCATCAGCATGACATTGAGCACCAAAGTGAATACGTCACGCGCACAATTAGTGTGTACATAAGGCATTAGCGCGAGAACCAGTGCGTGAACCAACACGCGCGCGTACTCCATTCGTTTGCACTGCTCTTGCTGGTTCAAAGTGACGTCACACTTCCGTACTCTATACTGTTCGTTTCATGATGAAATAAATGTGAAGCTTACAAAATATTAAATTTTTTGTATTGTGCGAATGGTGCTGATAACTTTGTGTAAACAACACAGTGTATTTAAGTGTCGAAGGTATGAAATACATGTATTTGAGTTCAGACCTTCACATTGTGTCCGTTCTGGCTGGAAGTATTATTTGTCAAAATGTCCTGTTTTGTGAGTCCTTTGGTACTAAAGAAGTAATATTTATTACAAAATAGAGTTGCTTAAAAAATCTTGATTTGTTCTTCCTTTTCATGACAGTGAACAAGTGCATTTGTTTACATGAGAAATGGACACCACTGCGGACTCATCACCCGATGCAAAAAATATCTAAACACTATTATAACACTATTATTTTTAAAGTCACCTTATCATCTTCTGTCAATTTTGGACTTCGAGCAGGAATTCATCTTTGTAATTGCGACTTTATCTGTTTGTTTCAGTGTTTAAAGTAATCCCCATCTTCGTAAGAAATCATCCATAACGTTTCAGAATTGTCTTCTTTAAGGTAGAAAAATTGGGATGACAAATGGGACGCACCCCAATTATTTCGAAGTCCATTTTGGATGCGCACGGGTTCCGTTCCTAACTGCAATCCCTCTGTGTTTACATGTGAATGACCCCAGGAGCTGGTCTCCTTGTCTAACTCACCTTTCCACTGGTCCTTAAGAAAGACATTGTCTTGAATTTGATTAAGAAGATAGCCTTCTCCTACCACCTCAACTAATTAATGTAATTGAAGGGGCGGGGAGGTCGAGCCTTTGTTTTTACAACCCGAGAAAGGGATAGTAGAGGACAAACAGTATTGCACGCGCCCGGTTTGCAATCTGATCAGGTAGGCCTAGCATACATCATGATACGGCGGTAAGACTCGAAGATAACCCTACCACAAATATACAAGACGTCTTTCAAGACACGGGGAAACTGCAGCCCCGCACGACTTGAGTACGCAGAGCATTG